TTTTGGGTCTGAAATGGAATCACTTAAATTTTTTTCTGGATAAAATTTATAATGCAATTTTTTGTGATACTGTGGTATATAGTGAATTAGGACACCTGAAAGTTCTTTGGGAAAATCCCTTGCTAATGTCAAGGGTCTCATCTTAAATCTCCTTATGGAAATCTCTTTAGCTACATTTTTTTTTAAAGGCAGATGACTGTTCTGGGTAAACGAGCACAGCCCTGCCCTTTCCAGTCCTTAGCCACCATACTGGCTCCATGACTCATACCAGATAAGGTCAGGAAGTAGGGAAGTTCTTTCTACTTTTTCTCGTAAGAATGCTTGCCAGCCATAAAGGGAAGGTCTTTGGTTCTTGGTGTGCAGGGGGACCGTCTCCATTTTTTCATCAGAGGGCTATGAGTTTTTTCAACTCTTCCAACATTCTTTTTAACAATCCACCACACAGTTCCCTTCTGGTAGGATGAGGGTGTTTTACAGCAGTGCCATCTAGTTTTGATGTATGTGTGTGTGTGTGTGTCTGTCTGTGTGATTTCAACAAAGAGTTGAGAGCTACTTGCTGCAGATAAGAGGTAGGAGGTGAGGCAGAACATCAAGCCAGCATTAAAGAAAGCTCAAGAAATGAGCATGATCTTTGCTTAGTGACTAAGAAAGAACCGTGAATAGTAAACAATTCCCCCCCAAGGAGTAACACTGTGAGGAGGTGATCACGTAAATAATTCGATAGCTGTGGATGCTTTTATATCTGTGAGAATATAACATGATCATTGCTGACATGTTTTGACAACTCCTGCTTTTACTAATTTGAGCCTCCAAAAATCCTGGTAATCTAAAATGTGTTTCTAGAGACTCTGTCCCAGCTTTGACCTGTAGAGCCCACGAAGTATACAGGCCACACCCACGCAAAGATTAATGACATGACCTTGATTAGACTTGCTTTTTGAGGCCCTAGGGAGGGAACTCCTGAACCCAGGAGCAGAAGTGCTGGTGAGCAGAATTCAGTATAGTATAAGGAAGAACTCCTAATAATTAAAGCTGTCGGAAAATGCAGCAACCTGACTAAGTATATTCAAGTTTTTTTGTAATTTTGTGCTGGCATAAGTAATTCTGCATGGAACATCTTTGAAATATAGCTTTGTGTACTTGCTCAAATACATTTGTAGGATAGATTTCCAGGAGTAGAATGGTTCTGGGTATGCTTTTTGCATTTTATAGATACTACCCAAGTTCCTTCCCCAAAAGGCTGCATCAATTTATACCTCATAAACTGTGCTCATTTCCACAGTTTCATAAGTACGGGTCAGTAGTTTTCATTGTTGCCAAATTGATTAGTAATGTTTCCAAGGTGGTGAATGTGCTTAGAAATTCAGATGAGAGAGCAGATCAGCCAGAGTGGGAGGGATGGGGAATGTCAGAGACAGGGAGCAGCACCTACCTATGAGCATCAACAGATGTTGGCAAGAAGATGAATCAGGGAGAGGCCCTTGTCTTCAAGCAACAGGGCACACAGGGAAGTCAGGGTGTGATAGAGCTGGACTGCGAAGAATGGTGAAAACAAAATGCTGCAATCGCTAACCAACGCGTTCATCTGGTGCTGGAACCCAAAGTAGCTAGAGTCGCATGTCAGATCCCTGTGCTGCACGTGCCAAGGCAGAAAGCAGATATACAGTGAGTCTGGACTAAACCAAGTGGGTCAGATACCTTTGCAGCATAGGAAATAAATTTCACTAAATTACCTGAAATGGTGGGCTTGATGTTGTAACATTTCTGGAAATTCTGAAATCTGGAGTAAAGAGGAAATTTGAGAGAGATGTAATCTTCATTTTCCTAGCTCTTTTAACAGCTATAAAGTTGTATTGTTAACAACGTGGAATTTTTTTTTCCTCATAAAATGGTCGGGTATTTAAATTTACAATAGAGCTTATTAATAAAGTGTTAGTCATCCCTAATTGTGCTTATTTTTAAAATGCCTTAAATGTTTGTAGTCAAAAGCTGCTGCTCTTAAATCCACACTGCGTTTTTGCCAATTATGAGAAGGACAAAAACTAGAAAACTCAATATTCAAGGAAAATTAATAAAATAGTTTTGTTTATAAACTTAATGTCTCACCCTTGGAGGTTGTGTGAGTGGGAGGCTGGATCATCTAGGGGAGGGAAGAAGTCTTTCTTTTTATAAAAGTTGCTAAGGGAAAGAAAAATAAAAGGGCAATTCTCTCCGTCCCTAAATTTATTGAATATAATCTATTGTGATGTGGAACTTTGCCTAATGAAATACATTTGAAAATAAATCAAATTTGACCTGATTCTCAGATTCTGCAGTGTGAAAACAGACCCCAGACTCAACCTTATCTCTTCCCTCTATTCATCCATCTGTCCACACGCTGACTCATCCATCCATAGCCAATAATACCTAATAATCATGGAGTGTTTACTGTGTGCCAGATACTATTCTAGTGCTTATGCATTATCTCCAATAATCTTCCCAGCAATGCTGTGAGATGAGTGTTATCATTATACCACTTTCAAATGGAATCTGAGGGTTTCCCCAATAAATTAAACAGACAATTATCATATGACCCAGCAATTCTACTTCTAGGTATATACCCAAGAGAATTTAGTTCAAACAAAAACTTTCATGGCGATAATCATAGCAGCTCTATTCACAGTAGCCCGAAGGTAGAAACAATCCAGATGTCCTTCAATGGACGAATAGGTAAATGAAATGCGGTTTTGTTTAAATGTCTGTTTATACAATGCAGTATTATTCATCCATAAGAAGGAATGAAGGGCTGTACATGCTATGACACAGATGGACCTTGAAGACTTTTACGAAATAAAAGAAGCCAGACTCAAAAATATGTAATACACAAAAATAACACAAATTAAGGAATAATATAAATGTGTGATTCCATTTATATGAAATATCCAGAATAGTTAAATCCATAGAGACAGCAGACTATTGGTGGCCAGGGGGTGGGGTAGGGGGACCCTGGGGTGACTGCTTAGTGGGAATGGGATTTTGGTTTGGGGTGATAACAAAGTTCAGGAACTAGATAGTGGTGATGGTGGGACAACATTGTAAATGGACTTAATGCCACTGAACTGTGCACTTTAAAATGGTTAAAATGATAAATTTTTTATTATTTTTTCAAAGAAATCCCCCCCACATTATCTAAGCTTCAGGCTCCACAAAATATGGACCCACTCCTGCATAGAGGGCAAAAATCCAGTGAAATCCACCATGCAGATATAATCAGTTACTTCTCCATATTTATTTTTGCATGTGTATTGGTACATTACGTTTTACAAAAGCGTGACTACTCTGTGTACTATTTCACAGTATTACTTTTTTCTCTTAATACATTCAAGACCCTCCCCCTATTGACCACAGAACCAGAAGTAAAAAATAACAGAACCAAACCAAAAAGAGGACAATACCAGGCAGCACCAAGGTTCAGGGAGAGGAAAGAGTGGTCAGGCCCCAGTGGCACTGCAGTGCCTTGGCGTGGTATATCACCCAGCACAGTTTTTATTATACAATTATTTGGATAATTTTTATTGACCTCTGTCTCCTCTATTACACTGTAAACACTTATGGATAAGAATGGTGTCCTTATACATACTAGGTGTTCAATAAATATTTGTTGAATAAATGCTTGAATAATTGAATGTTAAGGATTGAAGTCAAGATAATATTGGGCGTGGGAATTAGTAGGACCTCAGCCAAGGATTTTGGATGCCAGAGGGTTGCTGGGAAGATGTGTTTAAGCAAAGGTGTTGACATTGTGCCTGGAGAACCAGTAAGGAATGGCCTTTTTAACTCAAGTGTGCTACAGAATGGGCAGCAGTTGTATTTTGGAAAGGACACTGGTAATTAAGAAAGAGAAGAATCGCTTCTCGGCCTTTTGGCTAAGATCAAGTGTAGTATCTGTTCTTATCAGTTTAATATCTGATACGTCCTCTATCCGAGGACAATATATTAAATGGATTTTTGGAGTAGGGAGATGGAATAGGAGCTTGCTCCGTCCACTCCACGCATCGGCCTGGTATTGCAGTACTTCCGGGAACGGTGCCCCCCCTATCTGGGGAACATAAAAAAA